AAAAAAAAAAAAATCTTGAAACAGCGTTCACTAAGTTACCTAGGCTGGCCTCAAACTTGTGATCCTCCTGCCTCAGCCACATGAGTAGCACTGTTTACAGACGTATGTCACCATGCCCATTCTACCTCTGGGGTTGAGTCATAGTTAGAAAAGTCTTTTCCTACACTGAGACAAAAGAAATTTACCAGTTTTGTTTTTCTAGTACTTATTGTGAGACAGGTTTCCATGGTTATGACCTGACAAGAACAACTTTGAGGAGGAAAAACTTATTTGGGGCCCATAGAGGTTCAGTCCGTGCTTGACTGACCTCACTGCTCTGGGCCAGAGGTAAGGCAGAACACCATGGTGGAAGGTATGGTAGAGAAAGCTGCTTAACTCATGGCATCCAGGTAGCAGGAAGAAAGTGAGCCAGCCAGGGACAAAATATAATTCCACAGTGACATATTTGTTCCAACCACACCCACCTATCTACACTACCACCAAGTAATCCACTTAAATTATTAATCCATCAAATGAATTAATCCACTAACCAGACTACAACTCCCATAATCCAATAATTTCACCACCAGACATGCGTGCATTACCACATGAGGTTTTTCTGGGGACATCTGTATATCACTTGTATAGTTCTATTTTTTTTTTACATGTTGATTTCTTATGATTGGAGCTTATTCTTTTTATTCCAGGTGGGGGATACTGGGAATTGAACTCAAGGGTACTCAACCACTAAGCCACATCCCCAGCCCTTTTTTGTATTTTATTCAGAGACAGGATCTCACTGAGTTGCTTAGTGCCTCGCTTTTGCTGAGACTGGCTTTGAACTCTCGATCCTGTTGCCTCAGTCTCACTGGGATTACAGGCATGTGCCAATGTGCCAGGCTTGGAGTTTATTCTTATATTTTGCATAAGGAATGCATTTAATTTTATATTTTTCAAAATAGGTATCCATTAGACCCAATACTGTTTATTAAAAAGGTTTTTTGCCTGGTGATTTGAGATGACACTTTCATCATATTCTTGCACATAATTAGATCTGTCTCTGCACTGCTTATTCTGTTTCACCTATCTGACTCTTCATGTGCCAGTGTCACACTGTTTTAATTTTAGAGGACCTTGTGCCATACCAGGCAAGAGCTCTATATGAGAATTTTAGAGTCAATACCTTAGGTCTATAAAAAAAGCTCACTGGAATTTTTATGGGGATCACATTCATAAATTTGAGTATAATTAAGATACTTATAGCAAAAATGTATAACCAGCAATGGTTCTTCAGTGACTATAATTTATAGAGATTAGATTTTTTAAAATATATAGGGCTGGGGATGTGGCTCAGGTGGTAGCGCGCTTGCCTGGCATGCGTGCGGCCCGGGTTCGATCCTCAGCACCACATATAAACAAACATGTTGTGTCCGCAGAAAACTAAAAAATAAATATTAAAATTCATTCTCTCTCTCTCTCTCTCTCTCTCTCTTTAAAAAAATATATATAGACTCTAAGAAACATTTTTTTCACATGATTCTAAAATAATATTATAAGATTAAATATTGACTACTGTTTAATTTTTATTTTAGATTTCCATGGTATCAGTAATTCATATTCCTGATAAGACTTATAAACTTTCCTGCAGAATATTGTATCAATATTTACTTCTGGCCCAAGGTCAATTTCATGATCTGAAGGTAAGTTGTACCCTGTTG